CCCCTAATCGCTGTCTCCTTTTTCAATTTTTTCAATGGCCATGCTATCATGCATGCTCCTGTGAATAGGACTACATGCCACCAACACGCACAGGCAACCCAAGATGAAAACAAAAAGAAGACACAGGTCTGCTGCTCCTCCCTAGGACAAGCCGCATCCTCATGTCAACCAAATGTCTTCAATGAAGGTGCGCTGCAATGATTGATGGGAAATGTAGTCCCAAATACTAGAGAGAGAGAGAGAGATTGATTCCCACACAGAAGTTCCTTTAGCAGCAAGGAGGGACCTACGATCTGGCTATCAACTAGTATTATTGTGTCATTCTACACTGTTTGGCAAGAAAGGACTGATTGACCTGTGTTACAGTAATCTATAGCAAGGCATTTTAGGTATAAATGACAAGGCTTCAGCACTACTAATGCATTAGATATCCTATCTAATGCATTTCCTATCTGTTAGGAAAATATCTGCGTTTACAACCAGTTTAAGACTAAGGAGACCACAGATGACACAGTTGTATAAAACTAGCTAATGACAAGACTAATTTAATGAGCAAGATTGGGCTGAAATATACAGTATATGTGATGCAGGGCACAGAAAGATGTTTTACTACAAGAAATAAGACACTGCAGATGAAACAGCGGTGTAAAATTGACAGGATAGTTTTAATAAGCAGGTTGAGGCCCAAATGTACTGGAGACAGCGCAGGATTAACAAAAAGTGTTGCAGGCATAAAGCCTATGCCACTCTTCTAAAATGAGAAAATGTAGCAGATCCTCATGCTATTTAACAAAGAGAGATATGCTCTGTTTTCTATACCACCATGTCTGCTGCAGTCATGGCATAGAATTCAGAGCCAATTGCTCCTAATTACAAAGAGCTTTCTAAGTCTATATTTGTAGTGTGTTACTGACTGACAGTTTACACCCGGTATGCCAGGTTTAATGTAGCAGGGGATTCAATATAGAAAACTGCCTTTTTTTTCAATAATGAATCCAGATCAAACAAATATATATTGCCCAGAAATGTTTTATTTACATTTTGTCCAAGCACAGCTTTGCTTCCCTGAACTTCCTGTCCAGTACAAGATCACAAGGGACAGAGCAATTTCCAGCAGCTGTCAATCTACTAGCATGGAGAAGAAAGAATGGAAGGGCGGGATCAGGGGAATGGTTTTGCCTTGCCTTGCTTTGTCTGTGTATTTGTGGAATATAAAAGCAAAAATTTCCCAGAACACTCACCAGCCAGCCTACAAAACAAAATACCCTGTCTAACTAATAGGGTTAAAAACAGAGGCAAACCTGTACACAATTCATCATTTGCTATGCATATGCTCCAAAATGGAGGCTTACATAGTTTAAAGTTAGGACCACACTACACAGAGGGGCCTTGATGAGGCAGTGTGGCTTCCACATATTTTACATAGGTTGTTCAACGAAAACTGTGAAGGTTCTCATTCATCCAGGTCATGGTATATCTGTAAAAAATAAGTCAAGGCAACTGACTTATTTTTAAGGGACTCAACTATGCATGAAAACATAGAAATTTGGGTGCAGAAAAATGGCAGAAGTTGCTCTGGATTTATGAGTCAAAATGTGGAAAATGTGAGATAATGAGTGTCCAAGTGTCACGTCATGTTTGTCATGCTTTTCACTCTCACTGGTACTCACATACAATGCTGTTTTAACACCTCTCTCAGGGCAGGTTAATAACACCTCCTAGACTCCAATTATGCAAATGCATAATGCATAATTATGCAAATTTCATGTTCATCTTGCTGTAAAGCTAGTTATGAATTGATGAGTGTGTTTGCCATTTGTTTCACTTGTTGGATGTGTTGTGGTGAAAACATTGGGGGCTTCAGCTGACATTTTGATGTGCGGGGCTCCTGGTGTGTCCTTGTGCCTTTAACCACTTGAAGGCCATAGTGTTTCACCCCCTTCCTGGCCAGGCCATTTTTCAGTATTCAGCGCTGCCGTACTTTGACTGATGTTTATTCCGTCATGCAACGCTAGGTTGTGTTGCCTCCTGGCAAACCTGCACCCAATTCATTCTTTGCTATACATATGCTCCAAGATGGAGGCTCTCATAGATTAGCGTTAGTACCACACTACACAGAGGGGCCTTGACGCGGCAGTGTGGCTTTCAAATATTTTACAAAAGTTGTGCAAATAAAACCTCTGTTTTTAACCCTATAAGTTAAACAGTGTATTTTTTAGCATGCTGGCTGGTGAGTGCTGGGAAATTTTTACTTTTGTACTGTGTAAAGCCCTTCCATGTGCACCTTGCTGTAAAGCTAGTTATGAATTGATGAGTGCATTTGCCATTTTTGTTTCGCTTGTTTATTTGTGGAGACAAGCACGGCTTTCTAGCACACACAAGGGTGGCTCCATAGGAACCTGCAAAGGAAAGGAGGCCCCCTAAAATGGGATATCAGGGCCAGTGCTCAGGGGACCAACTGATTCTACAGGAAGCAACAACTTTTAAACATGAGGGAGCAGCATCCATTGTAACTGATTTACAATTGCACTTTATGTGATTAAAATAGCATTACAAAATCACCTAAATTAGGCATGAACCCACACCAGTTTCTAACTCATATTATTTCAGTTCTATCTGCTTTGTTTATGTGGCGCTTGCCAGTCTCCTATGCCATTATGGTGGCGCAAGAAACATTGTTAATTTCCCAGACAGAGCGTAGGCAGGTATTTTCACTGAAGAATTAGGAGATTTCAGACGATAAAGCACTGTAAAATTGATAAGCAGCCGGACAGTTTTAATCACGGATAAAAGGCCTAACCAGTGTATGCCTGTTTTTTTAATTGATGCAGCAGTGCATCATTCACTTGTTGCTGACCATCAGAAAGGATGACAGCTCACCAGCTCTCTCTGACATGGAGTGCTGGACTCTACTCTTTCTTTTGGTCGGCAAGAAGTGATTTCTGAGCTTTATTCACTCCAAACGTAGACAAAACCCTATTAATATAAATTAAAACAAATGCCCTCAATAGAAATGAAAACCCCCAAATACCAATTATCAAAAGCCCACTTTTTCCCTAAAGCCCTGCAGCAGAAAAAAAAATATCTATGTATGGGACAGCAGCTAAAAGTGACCACTGCTCTCACATCAGCCACAAACCAAAATTAGACACAAAAGTCCCCTACAATAAAAAAAAAAATAAGGGAACAAATGTTGTGATTGCCTAAAGAGCTAGTAATCAGAATTAAAGTAAGTTACCTAACTTTAATTTAACTCTAATTTCTCCCGATGCAGTTTGTCAGCTTTCCCTATTCTCTCCCTATAGAAGCCCTCCCTCCTCCCCCTTTTTATGGTTAGTTGGGTAGTTTATTCAAAAGTCCACTGTGGCCCTTCTAATAAGGTTGTCACCTTTTCTTCAAGCAAAACCTGAACACTCTAGCGCCGTGTGGCAATTCTTTTGGGAGAATATACAGGAGAGAGTGAGGAGAGACAGCCAGGAGTATGAGCATGGAGAGAAGGCCAGGGAGAGAGTGAGGAGAGACAGCCAGGAGAGATAGCATGGAGAGACAGCCAGGAGGAGCAAGGAGAGACCGCCAGGAGAGATAGCGTGGAGAGACAGCCAGGAGTATGAGCAAGGAGAAAGGGCCAGGGGAGAGAGCATGGAGAGACAGCCAGGAGAGATAGCATGGAGAGACAGCCAGGAGAGATAGCATGGAGAGACAGCCAGGAGAGATAGCATGGAGAGACAGCCAGGAGAGATAGCATGGAGAGACAGCCAGGAGAGATAGCATGGAGAGACAGCCAGGAGAGATAACATTGAGAGACAGCCAGGAGAGATAGCATGGAGAGACAGCCAGGAGAGATAGCATGGAGAGACAGCCAGGAGAGATAGCATGGTGAGACAGCCAGGAGGATGAGCAAGGAGAGACAGCCAGGAGAGATAGCGTGGAGAGACAGCCAGGAGGATGAGCGAGGAGAGACAGCCAGGAGAGAGTGAGGAGAGATAGCGAGTAACAGATCCGCCTGAAGCTGAATCCCTGTGGCCTTCAAGATTTATCTGCATCCTGTGTTTCAGTTATCTGCTTACTGCCCGAGATCCAGTGTCCCATGCCTCCTCCATGCACTGGACAGGTGGCAACCCTACCTTCTAAACCTGCTGCCCATGGTTCATGCAGTACATTATGGTGTTAAAAAAACTTCATCCCTGCAAATTTTCACATAACTTTGCCGGGACTTACATAACTTTGACAGGACCTGCCCAAACACGTATCCAAACCTCATCCCTAGTGAACTGTTTAGAACTGCTCTACATCACTTCCTGTTCATTTATGATTGTGGACATGGTAAACATACTTTCTGTGCACCTCTAGCTGAAAGTGTATTTCCATTTTTGCAGCCAAATTGGAATAAACCTGGTTTATATTTGTTATATGTTTCTCAATCACAAAACATAACTTATTTTTTTTAGATTGCTGCTTGTGTGGTACATGCTCTATTCCAAAAGAAAAGTTGTTCACTGTACTGAGTTTTGCTCTGGAATTCAAGAGGGGTTGTGCAGATTAATTTTAACATAATTAACCCTGTCTGTACTGTGCTGACAGATTTTATTATCACTTGTGAACTAGATCTGATCACAGTCTGTCCTAAGAAAGGGTTAAAGATCTAGAACATTGCATGTTAATGAGGTGAAGCTGACTGTGTCCCTAGTCTTTCTATAGGGACAGACAGCGTTTCCTGTCAATTGGAAATTGAGAGAGAAGCTTGCAAAAAAATATTTTTAGGTATATTGTGTGAATAGGAACACATAACACACATACAGTGGGGTTTTCTCAAATTTGACTACAGAAGTGGAAATACACTTAAACGCGAAGTGCTCTGTGGATGCCTCTACCCCCCTCACTAAAGTGGGTCCCCTCTGACTATATAAATACACAAAATATAGTTTCTTTTTGTTAAGCTGTATTTTATCTTTTTACTTAGATTTGAATATAATCAGTGAACCATGAGTTAGTATTCTCACCTGTAACAGCTGGATATCATAATCAAATGTGTTTGCATTATAGAGCTCGTGTGGAAAGGCATGTAGCACAGCTCTCCTCTGCTTTTCTACTTCATAGTTCCTAATGGAATGGGCTCCAAGAATCACTTTTGCTCCAATGTCACTGGAAAGAATATACATGTACACAAATGTAAAGGTCATATGTCATGTTATTTAATTAGAGCAGTATTAGATATTGAAATTAAATGATATATTCTTCATTTGCATCATAAGAAATCTTTAGACACTTAATACTTCAAGAGCTAAGAACACTTTTACATTCAGATTCCTCCCATCAGTAATCCAACCAGCATGCTACAAACTTTAAACTTGCAAAACATACTGTGGAGAATTACAGAAACATTAAAAATCAAACTCAGACCTATACTACACTACACTGCACTGACAATTTGGAATCAATGTGAACTTTTATTAATGCTAAAAACCTGTTCAGAATTTTTTTTAAAGTGTCTATAATAAGAACTGTATATAAAACCTAGTTAAAATGTCTTTTCTTCAATCATTTTCTAGCAGGTGTCTGGATGATCAGGATGGTAAGACGGGCATTCTGTCTCCCTAGCTGACCGTTGAATGTAAATGATTGGGGCATACCACTCATTGACCAAAATTACAATTGGACAATGTGAATGATGATGGATGTACAGTGTGGGACATGTACAGTGTGGGACTTTTTTTTTAATATAGGGCTTGTCAAAATGAAAGTGTTATTATTTACACTTCTATTTGTTTACCCAATAAGTAGGGGCACTATGTACCCCCTTACTCATTCACATCAGGGGGCCCCTTTTATTCTTAAAGGGGGCTGCAAGATTCCAATAAGCCCTCTGTCCACAGACCCCCACAAATACTGGGCCAGGGTTATGGGAAAGAGACCCTTGTCCATATCAACATGGGATCCCATGGTACCCCCCTATGCTGAGGGCATGTGGTCTGATATGATTCAAAAGGGAGAAACAAATGTCTCAGCTTATGACTCCAGTGGCTGCCACCTCTCTAACAACAAGCCTGAGGGGAAGCTGTCACATTCAGCAATACTGTTAATAAATGTTTCACTTCCCAGATGGAGGTTCAGTTGGCCAAACACCCATTTAGTTTTGTCATTCCCTCCTAACAAGCAAAATTTGCTCCAAACCTAAAGCTCAAACCTGAGGCCCCTATGCCTGATCCCTGCACCCTGTTCATTATGTACTCCTAAAACTGGCACTTTGTGCACTACAGACTCCAGCATTATGTACACTGTATTGTTCATTACATACTTAAGGCCAAAGTTTTCATTGTCTTAACCATTCTGATTAATAAGCAGTGCCTAACTATTTTACCTATTAACTATTTTATTTTCTTCTATTTATCAGGTAACTATTATAATGAGATTCTTATTGCTGGTTGCTAAGCAGCCCCTGACTATAAGTTCCTCTTTTGAGGTAGGTTCAGGCACAGTGTGCAAAGATCGTGCTGGGGTTTATGCATGTCTGTGATACTCTCACCTGCGTTCACAGCTCCTGCACCTCAAGATGAGGGAGATTAACGTGTGCCTGCTGGCTGAAAGCGTCTCCGCTCCAGCATACACAGCTCCCACACTGGAAAGAATCCAGCCACACACCGCAAGATTTGTTGGAAAACACTTTATTACAGCTTCACATAGTCCCCCCTTCGATCTGCCCCTCGCTGACATTTTACTCAGTCCTGGGCTTAATCATAGCGATAGGCTTAGTTTAAGGTAGGAAACATACTGTATATACCACCATGCACAGGTGTTCACATTAAGCTCATTATAGTGTTAAAGGATACATGATCCTTATCATATGGAACCCTATCCAGTTCTAAGTTCCATCAATGTAACAAATAACAAGTCACAACCATATAACAAAATAACGGTGTCATGTCGTGTTACATCCCCCATACAATACAAACCTCTAAAACCTTGGTTCTCAACTGGTGGGTCGTGACCCAAAAGTGGGTCGTGACCCCATTTTCAGTGGGTCGCCGCATGCCTTCCACTTTTCTAGGTGAGATGCTCTTCAGCCTCCCCCTAGCGCAGCACTGTCCATTCTCTCGCCAAGCAGCTATTCAAAATAGGCTGCCCAGGGTTGAGCGTCAGCTTGAGGTGGGATGGGGCTATGGTCGTGAGAGAGCTCCATCCATCCATACATGCATTACTTACTTTTTTTGGAGTGTGTGGGAGAATGTGACTGTGGTTGTGCATGTATGTCAGTGTTTTTGAGGACCCATTTACACTAGTACAGTGCATTAATCATATAGTACCGTGCGATTAACGGTGCACAATCGCATCTACCATGCATTGTGATGCGGGAGGTGTGTTGCGTTGCTATTCATTTGAATGGTACCACAAACGCACACTCCCACCCACAGTCTGTACGCCTGCACTAGAACGCGTGGTACCCTAATGCGTTCCATTGCAGTGTGACTTGGGTCGCGACTTAATGACCAAAGACAAATGTGGGTCCTGAGGTTATACAGGTTGAGAACCACTGCTCTAAAATATATATAGATGTTACAAGTGTGAAAATGTACATATGTATCTGGATCACATTACAAACCTAAAACCAACTCAATTTTAATTATTAATCTATTAAAATCAACAATGTTTTATCTGTTAAAATCCCTTGCTACCACTAAAGCCCACGACCCTGGAAAAGCATCCTCCCAGTGGGTCTGGTTAGGAATTTTAGAGGGGACCCCATTTTTTATCCCCCCATTTGTGGGTGTGGGGTTCCTCCTTAAAATTCCTAACAGACCTTAAGGGCCCCATACCCTTTTTATGGCCAATAACTTGCATATAAGCCTTCAAAAAGGGGATATTCGATTTTCAGAGTTGTGGGCCCTTAGACTTTCATTGAATTCGAAGTTCGAGTTCAAACTTTTTCCATGTTCTAAAGTTCAAACTCGAACAGAACTCAGGTGTGTTCGGACCATTACTACTGCTCACTCCCTAACATCAAATAACAATTTCCCACCAAACACATTACAATATGACGATACGTCCATTGTACAATCTCCTTTAGATTTACCAAAGGTAAATCTAAAGGTTTACATCCATTAAGTTTGTATCAATTCAGACAGGTTTTTGAACTACGTAGTTGTTGATAGATCTAAAGGAGATTGTACAGTCAGACTGTAATATGTGTAGTGAGTTTAACAGTTTACAGTTAATTTCTTGAGGTTGAACTACTCAGAAAGATACATTCAGAGTTAATTCAATTAACTCTAAAATATTATTAGTAAACTATATTATAATAAGCCAAAAAAGAAGAAGAAAAGATGGGGCTTTGAAAGTGTCTACTAACTAATGCCAGGGAGTATGGTTATATAATAAGTAATTAGTTAAATTACATACACAGAACAGTGAGCTGCAGTTAGAACCCAGTTTGATGTAATCAAAGTGCCGCCACATATTCCCCTTTCTGCAGTCCTTATAAACACCATGTATGGTCGTGAATGGGGCATGGCCTCCCTTCCTCCAATGATGTCCATGCACATATCTAGAAGAATAGAATTGTGAAAGAAGAAAATTATTAAAACATCTAACATCAAGCAGATAGTTAAAACTTAGCAGCCAAATGATGGCTGACTGGTTAGTACTTCTGGCCTTGGACCAGGGTTTCAATGCCCAGTGGGTGCAAAAAAACACCGGCGCCAGCACCCGTGACTTGTATGCACACAAACTAGTAACACTAGTGATGCAGCTCCCACTGGTCAGGGCAACCGACAAACTGGAAAACATAAGCAAAAAGAAGCGCCTACATAGTGTAAAACAGTATTTAATAAAAAGAAGGCACACAGCTAGGGCTGTACTTACAAACAACTGTAGAACACAGGCATGTAACAAGGATGGGTAAACGAAATCACGAACAAAGACGAGCTGGAGTATTGATGTTAAACCAGAGTCTTCTGCCCCCAAGTATTCCACGGGTTAACATGTTTCAGAGGCAACGCCCCCTTCATCAGAACCGATTCTTTTTATTAAATACTGTTTTACACTATGGAGGCGCTCCTTTTTGCTTTATGCTTTATGTTGTCCAGTGGGTGCACTTGAAAGATTAGTTTTTTTCATTTTGCCTGTGTTATGGACTTTAGATGAAATTTCAGTTATTTCTGTTACTTACTGCAGTATGCCAAGCCTTTATAAATAAAATAACAAAGGGAATTGCATTGTACCTGTCTACTGGTCTTTTGTAAGAAGACAGCCCCCATTAAATGGCGTTATGTAAGAAGAGAAAATGTTGAGTTTGTCTTTGTAAACGTGTGAGCATGGATGACCACCTCCAGGCATGGTATGTTTCCTGTAACACTGTGGTGTGCATTGGGCAAGCACGATATGGGGCATTACTACAATGCATTACAAGGTTTACTTTTTTTACTTTATTTTTAAAAAAACACTTCATTTAACTCTATGCACAGCAGTGCATTGTGATACAGTGACATGTGTTGCAATGCATTGCACATTATTTTGCATTAAAATGCAGATTTTCAGGATTTTTATGCAATGCACACCAACACACTAGTGTGCTGTGAATAGAGCATATAGAAAACAATTGTTTTCTCAGTGTCCTTGCAATAAGCCTGCATTGATCAAAGCAGATCAGTGCAGCTAAATGCACATGGTGTGATTCAGCCCTTAAAGGAAAACCGGTGTGCAATAATTATTATTATTGTGATAATGCATGGGCTGCAGCATGCTTAATGGCCTCAAATGCAGAAAGAATTGCATCTGCTCCATTTTTTTTAATGACAATGCACTTTAATGCACAAAATGAATGGTACGACAGTGTAGCTAGTCTCTTTATGTAGCCATCCAGATCAGCATATCTTCAATTATAGTGTTGGAGGCTGCACCCAGACACCACTGGACTAGACGACTGCGAGGCCTGCCGGGAATTTGACTTTTAGGCACTGGACTTTGCATTGTGGCTCTTTCTAGAGTGTTGTGTACTTTGTTACATAGCCATGGAACGTTTTCCAGGTCCAGAGCTGTGGGACAGCGAGTGTCTGGTGCGACCCTGTCTCTGAAGTACTCATTAATGAGTAGGCAGTGTGGGCTGAGAATTGGAAGTTACTGCTTTTATTAAGACCATGGGGGTCAGAGCTATTCTCTTTTTTCCATTGATTGATTGTCAAGCAATCATGTCATCATGGTACAATTTGGTTGATTTTCTGGACAAACTAACTCACCTGTCGCCCAGGACCAGATTATCTTTGGCCTGGTGGCTCATGGATCCAGCTCTGGAGTTGGGGAAATCCTTAAAACTGATGCCAGCTTGCCAGGCTGGGGAGGAATCCTAGACACCATGCGGTGCAGGGGATGCTAGGCAAATCTTATCTCCCAGTCAACAATTTGGAGCTCCGGGTAATTTGGTTGTCCCTACAATGCTGGCATCCTGACTGGTGGGTCATCTGATCTGGATACAGTTGGACACAGCATCAATCATCAGGGAGGAACCAGAAGTCTGGCATGGCCTTTTACACCATTTACTGCCCATCTAAGGTATGGGTTTACTGCCCATCTAAGGCATGGGCAGTTGGCAGATGGACTTACTCAGCTGGCAGTGCTTGGATATCCCCTGCAATGGACCTCACAACCGGAGGTGTTCCAAGACCTGTGTCACATGTGGGGAATCCTGTGGGCCTTCAGGCCTACCATAAAGGGTGGGCAGGTTTGTCTCCAGGTGAAAATATTCACTGGCGGAAGCAGTGGATGTTTTGGTATTTCAGTGGGATCCTTTCCTGAAACTCCTTCCTTGTCTGCTCTGCAGTATAGAGAAGGAGGACATTCTGGTGATCCTCATATCTTCAGAATGGCCCAGGGAGATGTGGTACTCCTCTTAGATGCTCCATGGGCCCTATCCCAAGTGTTGATTGGCTTCATCATCATGGATGTTGAAGCCCAGGTTTTCAGCAATACAGGCCTCTTTGAATAAGTAATCTCTACTATGCTAAAAACTAGAAAGTCTACTTTCCGGAAGGACTACTATCACACATTGGAAGACTTATTTCACTTGGTGGGAAGAAATAAACTTTCCTCCTAGAAAAAAATATTTTGACATTTAAGTCTGGACCAGCAATTGAACAGGTGTACTATTAAGCGTCAAATCTCAGCACTTGTGATTTTGTTCCAGAGACCACTAGCCTCCTATGCTTTGAATAAGACTTTTATACCAGGTGTTGCTCATTTGGCTCCCTCTGTATGCTCACTCGTTTCCCTGTGGAATTGTGCATTCATCTATCTATTCTATCGTCCCTTCATTGATGTAGTCAATGAAGGCAAATTCTATTTTAATAGTTGGTGCTTTAGCACTGTAACAAATTGACCTGTGCCGACACACTGAAGATCTGACTACATAGACAATTACAGTACTCCAATTAATAGAGCTTACAGTTCTTGAGCAGAGTTGTTGATTGGAGCACTGTCTGTCAGACCACTGGAGATATGGATCACTGACCTCTGTGTGAGAGCAATAGTTTAGAGCTCCAGTGTGCTGTTAACATTGGAGCAAATGTATTTACTGCTAAAGCACTAACGCATAAGAAAAAACATTTGTATGTACTTTTAGGTCAGCCTGGCTGCATCCTACAAATACAGGATATTTAATTGTATTTCCACTTTGACAGCCAAATTTGGAGAACACCTACTTTACATATTCCCATTCGCATAGCATAACCTAAAAAAAAAAAATGCGGCTCAACTTTTTTAGATAATCTTTGCTAAAACTCCAGGACTGAAAAATCCTGTTTATGAGGGGGCTAAGCAATTGTCTTTGCCACAAATACCCTGTCTGTACTGTGCCGGCAGATCTCCTATATCAGTTGTAAACTAGTTCTGCAGTACTGTCTGTCCTAATAGAGGGTTAAAGATCTCAAGACATTGTATGTCAATGCACCGTCTCTCAGTCTGTCTACTTATCTACACATTGGCATCTATTAATGCAGTAACAGTAAAATTCTGCACCAAAGAAACAGCTAAAAAGGTTAAGAAATATGTTTTAAATATATTTTGTAGGCATGCTGTTTGAATAGAAACACATAACACACATACAATGTTTTTTTTCCAATATGACTTAAAAGTAAAGCAGCACAAACATCAAGGTTATGCAGTAAAGCTACACCAAAATTACACTGTTTTTGCATTATAGATTTTGAATTAATGAATTACAGACTCTGTATACTTTAACAAAACTTGGAATTGTGAATGTTTTCTAAATTAATTTAAAATGTAATTAATTTGAAATTAAAAGTTATTAATAACAGTTTCATTTATTTTAAAGTTTAAAATGAATCAGCTTATAGACCTGATTTGTTCCTAATTGATATTTAGCATTTTCCATTTAGCTCCAAGACAAGAAAACAGCTTTTCACTTTAGATATATCTTCCACACATGTTTTCTTATATGAGCTTATTTACATATAATAAGCCAGGTTAAGGGAAGTAAAACAAGGAAAAGTTTGATGCTTACAGACTGCAGTAATATAAATATAGTCCAGATGTTGCATTTATTAAAAACAATAAAATACAAATGTACTTACGTCCTTGAATGAACAAGATAAAATTAATAGCGGACAATGAAAGGAAAAGCTTCATTATCACTGGACAGAGCTTCCAAATTTGAATACTTAGTGCACACTGAAGGGGGAAACCAATGCAGTCTTAAAAAAAACAATTTCTGTGAACCACAAGAGAATGTGATTAAAAGTGTTTCCTTTATTCAGTGGCAGAGTTATCACAAGGCTCTTGTAAGAGACACTAGAAATTTCAGTTTTGTTTCGTTCTGAAATGATTCGGAAGAATTTCTCTAAATTCGGACATTCAGATGCATCCAAATTTCCAAATTCCAATTTATCTGAATTTTGGATACATTGAAATTACCAAATTCAAATGTATATGGAATTTCGGATGCATCCAAATTTCCAAATGGCAACATAACAGATTCAAATGTATCTAATATTTTTGATAACAAATATTTGGATGTATCCGAATTTTGTCCGAATGTCATTTGGAATCAACTGATGTGTTGTTAAACGTGAAAATCGGAAAAAAAACCCATTGTGGGGCCCCCCAAATTCATACTAGACCCTTTAGGTCTTGTAGGAATTTTAGGGGGGACCTTATGCCAAAAAAAAAAATGCATAGAGAGCAAGTGGCCTGGTATGGTGCAGGAGGGGGACTGCACGATTATCCCCCACCCCATTTTCTGCTCTGCCAGGTTGCTGCTCGGATCAAGGGTCTGATAAGGAATTTTGGCATGGGGTCCACCCCTAAAATTCCTACCAAACCTAAAGAGTCTGGTAGGAATTTGGAAGGGGACCCCACACTATTTATAAACTCCATCCAAACTTTCAAATTGATCTGAACCGGAAACAAAAAGTTCAGATCAATCCAAACCAAAAAAACTAAAAATTCAGATCGATCCAAACAGCAAACCAAATCGAATTTAATAGTAAGAGGACAAAATCCAAACACACTTTTCTTTACAGCACCAGGTTTAGGGTTAGGGTGGGTGAAGTGGGGGTGCGGGAATGGGGACTACAAAGATCAGTCAGAACACAGTTACAGTTCAGGTACCATAGCTGTCACCTCTTTGTCTATAGGCTGTCATTATGGATGCATATGGAGTCCAATGACAGCTCTGCAGGTACAGCAGGTTACTTTATACCTCCAATAGCCCATCCAGATTTAAATTTGCTAAATTATTCTGGAACATGAGCATAAAAGGAGTCAAGTCTGCACAAGTCTGTGTCTAAGTTGTATGAAGTGCAAACTCATTATATAATACAAAAAGATTACAATGTGAAGTTTATTTTCTTTCTAGTTTGCAAAAAAATATTCCTTGCTGAATATTTTTGGAATTTGACAATATAACATCAAATTTGTTAAAATGCAGCAGTCGCTTAAAGACACCCGCCCTGCCCTCAGGCATGGAATTTTTGACCACCATTGACCATTGGCTATTTCAATTTGCAATAGCCAATAGTAAACTAGCATTGTACCCGCCCTCTGCTGCAGTTCTCCATCAGGTCCATTTGAAAAAAATTTCAAGCAACAGGACAGTGAGTAGGGGGGGTTGCACTGCTGTCCCTGTGTGTTTGTGGAGTCGCACATAGCTTATTTGAGAGTGGCTCAATGGGACACTCGAAGGCAAAGGAGCCACCCTAAAACAGGATGTCAGGGCCAGTGCTCAAGGGATCAGATAATTCTGCAGTTCTGCAGGAAACTAAAAATTGTAAACTTCAAGGAGCAGCATCCATTGTAAGGGATTTAATCAGCATTTAAACATTGATACTGATGGGACAGCAGCAAGAAAGGGTTGCTACCCTAAAATCAAGCACAAAATTAACCATTTCGTGGTCACAGATGTACCTAGTACGTCCTTGGCAGCACGGCCCTGTAAACAGACTCCCGGGAGCTTTAGCCGCCGGAAGTCTGTTTACCTTTGTAAAGTTGACTGCCAGCTTTACAACAGTAGCGATTCTGGGAGCTCAGCTATGATCGCTTCTATAGACCGGTAAAGTGCCTGTCACGGGAGCCACGTACCTGAGGTGAGGCCGAAGTAGTGGGGAGGCCTCCCTTGCACCTCGGGTCCTTGAAGTCTCTGGAGATGGAGACAGAGACTTGGTGGACACCGAGTGGCACGGGTGCCAGGGGTGTGGAGCACCGTGCAAGCCTTAGTCCGAGATCCTAGCCGAGGTCAAGTCCACTCTGGCAACGAAGTACACCAGGGTTAATCAAAAGATGGTCGAGATCCAAGCCGGGGTCGGTTCCAATCTGGCAGCTGAGTACAAACGGGGCAAAGAAGTAGAATGGTCAAGGTACAAATCCGAGGTCAATGGCAGGCAGCAATCAAGAGTAGTTAAATAGGTTTCCAGGTCACAACAAGTTCAGACAGATCACACACCTGCACAGGAACAAGGGGGACCTGAAGATAATCCAGCAATTTGGCAGTGTCCGGGCTGTGGGCATTTTCCCGCCTTTTTCCATCAGGTTGAGGTCACTTCCTGTGCGCCTCCTGGCCATTTTCCTGCCTTTTTCCATCAGGTTGAGGTCACTTCCTGTGCGCCTCCTGGGCATTTTCCTGCCTTTTTCCATCAGGTCTTCTGCGCATGCGCGGGTTGGCGCACTGACACGTCTTTGGTGCATGCGCAGTTGGCGTGGATTTCCTCTTGCGGCAACGCGCCATTGGCGCATGTGTAGTAAGCCCTGGACTCTTACAGTGCCCGACAC